AGATGAAGAGGGATATAAGGAGCAACTTTTTTATGCAGTGAGTGATAGTGAGCTGGAACCTGTTGCCACAAAGGGAGTCAAAGCAGAGATGATGATTTCAAAGGAAATTGGTAGGCATTTGAGGGGAAAAAAACCTGGAATTTGGGAATAGGACTTAGCAGATTGAGTCAGAGAACAATGAGTCAGCATGGACTCAATGGGCCAAAATGGCTCCTTCAGTGCAATGACCTTAACATTCAGCAATGTAGATAATGTATACTGATACTGAACTTTGCAATGTATTCAACCTTTAAATGAGTACAACAAGAAAATGGTTTGGTTTTTCTGGTTTTCCAAAGGTCACCATGTTACATAGTTTAATTTTAAATTTATGGGATGAGGGCATTTGCCTATTCTCATTGCCCTTGGGATGGTGATGGTGTGCTGCTGATTTGAACTGCTCCAGTCCACTTGGTATAAGTATACCAGAACTGGTGCCAAACAAGTGGGCTGCTTTATTCTGGAGGGTATCTAGCTTTTTGTGTCTTGCTGGAGCTGCAGTGTTCCAGGCAACTGGGAAGATACTACCATAATCTTGACTTGACTTGTATCTTGTAGATAGAGCACAGGCTTTAGTGTGTCAGGAGGTGCATTGCTTGCTGCAGGAGTCCCAGCCTCTCCCTGTTCTTTTAGCCACGATATTCAGTCCAGTTTAGTTTCTGGTCAATGGTAATCCCCCAGGATGTTGATCGTGGAGTAATATGTTTGAATGTCAAGGGGCAATGGTTAGATTCTCTCTTGTTGGAGCTAGTCATTTCCTGGCACTTGTGTGGTGCAAATGTTACTTGTCACTCATTGGCCCAAACTTGGAAATTGCCTAGGTCATGCTGCTAATGGACATGGATTGCTTCAATATCTGAGGAGTGGCAAATGGTGCTGAACACTGTGAATTTATCAGCGAACATTCCTACTTCTGACCATGCGATGGGGGGAAGGTATCTGATAAGGTAGTTCAAGGTGGTTCGTCTAAGAACACTAATCTGAAGAACTCTTGAAGAGCTGTCCTGGCTCTAAGTGGAGTGACCTCCAATAATCTCAACCATCTTCCTATGTACCAGGGCTCCAACTAGCAGAGAGATTTCCCCCCCCACCCCCCGATTCCCATTGACTCTGGTTTTGCTAGAGCCCCTTGATGCCACGCTTGTTTAAATGTAGCTCTGATATCAAGAGCTGTCACAAGTGAGAAAGAACAATAAGTTGACTGTTAGAACTTGAAGAGCTGTATTGGTATTTGAAGCCAGTAAATCTATTTTTTTTCTATTTAAGCTGTTCATGCTGTAAATAATCCAGGCAAAGATATTTGATGGCCCAAATTACAAATGCTGAATGTGGTATGAATTGAGACCTGCATGCCAGGAAGGCTTAATCTGAAACAAAAGATACTGGAGATCACAGTGAGTCAGACAGCATTCATGGTGATAGAGCAAGCTAACATCTCGAGTCTAGATGACTCTTCATCAGAGCTGATGTGACGTGTGGAGGAGGCAGCATTTATGCAAGATTGGGGAAGTGGGGGGTATGCAGTGTGGGGGGTGCTACGGGAGAGAGGCTGCTGAAAGTGCAGGCTAAGTGATTGGAATGTGAGAATGGCAGCAGTGGTGTGTCTAACTGCCAGACTGGAAAGAACAGATAGTCCCATTGGAGTGGAGGGAGGCGAGAGAAGACATGATGACAGAGAATGCATCAAGAAAAGCCAAAAGAAAGGGAAAGAATGGTAGTGAGTTCAAAATCTGAAGATGCTAAACTCAATATTAAATCCAGAAGGTTGTAAAGTGCCTAGTCCGACAATGAGATGTTGTTCCTCTGGTTTGCGCTGTGTTTTGCTGGAGCATTGCAACATGCTGAGGACAGACGAGTGGGCATGCAAGCAGATGATTCCAACATCTGCAGTAATTTTCTCCGACAGGAAGATTTAATCCCTGGTTTGTGCAATATTACCAGACCTTTGTGGTGAAAATAGAACAATAAATTGGCCTGTACAGCCCAAACTCGAGAAAAGAAAACTCAGTTGGTATCCTTGCACTTCATTATTAACTACCAAGCCATATTGAAAGTGTGTTAACTTTATAAAGAACAGTGTTAGGTTCAATTATCAGAAAACTGATATGACATACATCTAATCCTTGGCATTGGCAGGTGGTAGTTCTCTCATCCACAGTGGAGTGTGTAATGGAATGAGGTATTTATTTAACCCTTAGATGTTAGCATCATTTTCGGTTCTATGCTGAAAAGTAGCTGGCAGGTGATTTTTTGCAATAGGGTTGTCTGTTGCCTGGGGGAATCAGAGTATTCATCTCTGGTGCTCCAGTTTGTGCAAGCGTAATGTATCTGATCCATAATGATGTAGTATTTTTATTTAAGATCCAGCAGGATTAATCCCACTGTATGATATCCATTCAATCCCAGTTACAATAGTTTCAAATTGTAGTTTAGGCATAGTATCAGCCTTGATTTACAAGATTCTATTGACAGTGCAGAACTTCACTGGGATCAAGTACTGGTCACGAATCTGGCACATGAGCTAGTACATCCCATTCACAGATTCCCATATTTTATAGTCATGAGAAGCATGTTATTTACTTGTATTGTGTGTCTATGTAGGTATTCCTACTTGAATTTAGTGATTGCGGCTAATAATATATTCCCATAATCAGTCCTTTGGCCAGTTGGCGATCACTTTTGGATGAAAGAGATCTAGTATTTTTGAATGTAATGCTTTTGAGAGATATTTATATAATCTGTGATAGCATACTGACATTATGAGTGGTTTATCGAATCTCTACCAGTTTAGTTGTAAGTAATATCAAAAAACATCTTATATTAGAATGTACTAACAGTGGTGCATATCAAATCTTTACAGTGTGGTGCCTAATGTAATATTTATAAAATCTCTGCTAGTATAGTATCATTTATACGGTACAGTGCAGATTTTGGTCCTGTATTCTTAATAGGTATCATGATTTGATTTTCTGGAAATATCTTTTTTTTGATTTATTATAAATCTAAATAACCTAAACTTTCTACCTATTATTATCAACTGTAAGCATGATTTTGAGTAAATGAATGTCATTTTGCTTTTTAATTATCACTTGCCGTTTTGCGACAAATTGTGTATAAAAGTGATCTGTCAAATCATGTTTGCAAATCTACATTGCATTGAATTGTGTGCTGCAGTGCTTGGTAATGTAATAGCATTGCTATCATTTTTGTATTTAGACATAAACTTAAATGAATATTGCTGTGTAATAAAGTGCCTTGGACACTGTATCAAGCTTCTTTGGAGATGAAGGATGTGTTGATAATATCCTGAGTGTAAATGTCATTATGACATTTAGCGATAGATCGTAACTAAGCTGAACTGAAAATGGTAGAGACATTGTACCATAGTTGGTATAGAATTTCTTCAACCATTTTCCTTTCATCCGTCACTATTTGATGTTGATAAGCTGATTAATGTTGGTACTTTGTAAGCATCATTGATAATGGTTATGATTTTCTGAACCAATGCTGTGCCTGAATGAGGTGTTAAACTTTCAGACTCTGAGACTGCATCACTCTGCCACTGAAAAATAGCTAAATGTTCCTTTATCATTTTCTACAAATCTTGGTCACCTATTTAGTCATGTCTACTTTTGCATTTAACAAAACTAAGGTACAAAATGTAGGTGGCTGGAACTTCTGCACACAGTCTCTGGGTAAAAGACTTGCATTATCTCGTGAGAAATAGCATGCTGCTAAAGGTATGCCAGAAGATCAGGAAAACCCTGTATTGCGTTCTGTCCCACAGTTAATATACAGTATATTTTTAGGAGACATGCTCAAGTTATCAGTATTAGTGTGCCTCTTAAAGGTATACTGCATACTAACTGTGAGAACCGGCAACAATTTAGCCATGAGGGTTTCAAGATGCAGATTAATTCAGGTAGATTAGCATTCCTAGGTCTTCTGGTCTCCCTGCTGTAGGAAAGATGTTGTTATACTTAAAAGGGATCATAAAAGATTTACAAGGATGTTGCTGGGATTGGAGGGTTTGAGCTAAAAGGAAAGGCTGAAAAAGGCTGTGGCTTTTTTCTCTGGAGCATCAGAGACTGAGGGGTGACTTAAGACAGGTTTAGAAAATCTTGAGGGGCGTGGATAGGGTGAATAGCCAAGGTCTTTTACCCAGGATGGGGAAGTCCAAAACTAGAAGGCATAGGCTTAAGGTAAGTGGGGAGAGATTTAAAAGGGACCTGAGGGGCAACTTTTTCATGCAGAGGGTGGTACGTGTATGGAATGAGCTGCCAGAGGAAGTGGTGGAGGTGGGTACAATTACAATGTTTAAAAGGCATCTGGATGGGAACATGAATAGGAAGGGTTTAGAAGATATGGGCCAAATGCAGGTAAATGGGACTAAATAGTTTGGCATGGATGAGTTGGGCCAAAGGGTTTATTTCCATGCTGCATAACTGTGTGATTATATTAAAAAGCAAATGCTCCTATATGATGGAATCTCTTCATCATTTGTTTTTTTAAATTAATATATAAACTTAACTAATAACTTCACAATCTCTGAACAGAGGTAGAGGCAATTGGGATTTAGAGACTTAGGGAATGCACCCCATGATTTTCCATGCAGTAAAATGTTCCCTGTAAAGTAGCAAATCAATACAAAATATCATTTTATGTCATCCACAGTTCATCATCAGTAAAACTAATAATCTTAACTAAGCATGTATGCAATTTTGTTTTGGTATTAACACCTAACATCACGTTTCAATAGGTTCAGACAAGATTTGCTGCAAAATCCTCCTGACTAATTTTGACTTCCACTTTACTAACTCGGTCTTATGATAGCGAAACGATGACTCACAGTCTAGTGATAAATTTTGCTTTGATTTCACTCCTATAATTTCACTTTCATTCAAATAAGAAAGCACATTGTTCACATTCTTTCATTCTAAAAAAAATGTCTTTGCTTTCAGGTATTCATTCCAAGATGAGGAAGACATGTTTATGGTGGTCGATCTTTTGCTCGGTGGAGATTTACGCTATCATTTACAGCAAAATGTGCATTTCAATGAAGAAGCAGTGAAACTCTATGTCTGTGAATTGGCATTAGCCTTGGACTACCTGCAACGCTACAATATCATCCACAGGTTAGTAGCGTTTGAAATAGGCAAGGTAAAATCACCATAGTCCTAGAGGACTGTAGGGCTGCTGCCTCATTAGGTAGGGACAACTAGAGGTGAGTTTAACCTGAGGGTCACCAAGCCTGGCACGAGGGGGCCTTCATGGTGACTATTTGAAATATATATAATTGAAAGCTGCCTGCCCTGTTGAATTAGTATTCAGTATTGAATTAGATTGTGCTGAGGCTCAGTTGGTAGCACTCCTGCCCTCATTTAGATTCAAGAGGTTCTTTCCCACTCTAGGACTTTAGGACAGAAGTCTAGGTTGGCAATCCAGTGCACTGTTGAGAAAGTACTTCACTGTCACCAGTGTACCTTTTGAATGAGATATCACACACAGATAATGCCCTCTGAGACAAATATAAAAGATCTTATGGCACTTGTTCGAAGGAAGATGTATCCCCAGTATTCTGACCAATATTTAGTTCTCCCTCAATCATATTCACAACAAAAAAACAGATTATCTGGCCATTATCACATAGCTGGTATGGGAGATCTATCTCTGTTTCTTATATTGCAGCAAAGTGTCATTCACAGTGAAGCAGCTATAGCCTGTGCTTGTGAAAGACATTGTAAAAATGCACATCCTTTTTTCATGAAAATCAACCCAATAATAATGACTTTCCCGCATCGGCGCCTTCATCAAAAACTGTATCAAGATGTTATAGGGCATGAGGCAAGGGTGGCACAGCGGCTCAGTGGTGAGCACTGCTGCTTCACAGTGCCAGGGACCCAGGTTCAATCCTAGCCTCAGGCAACTGTCTGTGTGGAGTTTGCACATTCTCCCCATGTCTGCATGGGTTTCCTCCCACAGTCCAACATGTGTAAATTAGGTGGATTAGCTGTGGGAAATGCAAGGGTTACAGGGATGAGTCTGGGTGAGTGTGATGCTCTTGACAGAGTTGATGTGGACTTGTTGGACTGAATGGCCTGTTTCCACGTTGTAGGGATTCTAGTCTATGTAAAACCATTATTCTTTAATAGAACTAGTTTATCATAAAACATCAAGATGCAATTATTTTTAAAAATTATGTCTTTAGCTGTTTAATGAAATAAACTTGTGATGATGGTTTAGAATATATTATTATTTAGGAGCTTAGGTTCTAAATTAGAAGTAAATGGGTTTTTGGTTTATAGTTCAATGAAATTGACTTGTTCTTTTTTATGTCAGAAGTTCATTTTTTCCAGTTGTGAGTTAGAACAGTCTTTCCAAGAAATCGTGTGATTTAAGTTGTGACTAGAGACATTACCTGATGAAATAATTGCTGAAGTGTTTGCTAAGTTCAGCTTCTATGACCCAGAGAAAGAGGAAGAGAGGTCAGAAGCAAGTTCAGTTCAGAAGAAAAAAAATCCATAACATCAAATGTGCTGTTTAGCACTACAAAGCTGTCTACATCAGAGAAAAGTCAATGAGGTAGTCAATGAGTGACTGTATCTCAGTAAGGTACAGAGAGAGTCACATCTGGTTAACGTGCAGAAACTTGCCAAAGGAACCCTTCGCAATCTCATCAGTTCAGTAAGAAATTAAAGAGTGCAGAAGGGACTGAAAGTGACTGGGGAAAAAGCGTTGAAATTTTTTTGCTGTTTATGATCAGATCTTTCCAAATTGTTTTGTGTATATAGATGTTGTATTGTGTAATAAACTTGATTCTTTTGTTAAAAGTACATCGACAAACTTGTGTGAATGTATCCAATGACTGATCACCATGGTAACAAATTCAAAAAATAAAATTTATTGCTTAATAAGCCAAGTTTCATTCTAGGATCAGACTTGCCCACTGTTACCATCAGCTGGGATCTTAACACTGTGCAAACTAAATGAAATAAATTGATGTCTTTATGCTTGCGGTGGTAAGTTCCTTGAGTTTTCCAATGTGGAAGGAAATGGTGATTGTCAGAGGTTTGAATAATTGTACAGGTTTTCTTCCAAATGAACAAATGTTAATTCATAGTGAACCATTTTATTTATTATACATCTGCTCCCTCGAAGGGAAGAAATTTGTTCATGTAACAACACTTCTAGCAACACTAAACAGGCTATCTTTATTTCCTGGAGACAGGAAATGCCATGGATTGCTCTCTATTGGATAAATACTTTTGTTTTCTTTTAAATATTTAATTGCTGGATATTGTCATCATTATATGTTGTATTTAAGTTATAAAAGCACTGTCAAATATTATCTATGTAAAGATTAAATTTGTTGTGTAAGTACATAATTACAAAACCTCAGGGCTCCATACTAATATGGTTAGTAATGTGCAATACCAATAGCATGTTGCCTGATTCTAAATGATGGATACCATGGCTTTCTACAAGGGCTTTTGGTGTAAATTGTACTAATTGTAATCAGTAAAATTAGCATACAAAGATAATTAATATTAGTGGTACTTTGCTGTTAGAAAGCTTAGTAAACTCTCAGGCTGATGTAGTCATTACATTGGCCGTAATGTGAATACTATATTTACTCAAATTGTTCACTCAGTAATGCAATTACAGATGTTTACTGAGAGTACATACATCTCATACACTGGATGAGTGGACTTGATAGTCTGGTATGCAAGGTTCTAAATTCTGAGAGTCTCAAAATGTGTTTTTGTTCTGTTAGCTGTACATCAATGGAAGACGAAATGTTAGAATCTATTATAAAGGATGAGAGAAATAGATAGCTGGATGACAATGATCTGATTGGGCATAGTCAGCATGGATGAGCGAATGGTGTTGGCTGAATCAAAATCATAGAACTGTAGAGTACAGAAGAGGCTCTTCAGCCCATTGAGCATGTGCTGACAAAAACTACTCTAAATCAGCACAGCAGTCCCACTTTCCAGCACTTGGCTCATGGCTTTGAATGTTATGACATTTCAAGAGTTCATCCAAGTACTCTTTAAAGGTTGTAAAAGTTCCAGCCTCATCTATTTCCCCAGGCACCCTCAAAGCAACTTGAATGCAGTCTATAGCATCCTGTACTTTGGTAAGCCAGTGACGGTGAGGAATCCCATTGCCTGGGCTGCTGGCACCTCCAGATAATGGGAGAAGAATATGAACAACTGTGATCTAGCATTAGCGACATCCTGGATGCATTCGTGTGTGAAGGATTGGGACCTACCACTTAGGTCCCTAGCTGCTTCTTGAAATGAGCCACTGGCATATAAAATCAGGGAAGCTGTAACCACGACGGCCACCTGGATGGGTTGAGCACAAGTTTTGCTCCAGCAGGTGACAAAGGGCAGGAGATCCTTAATCGGCAGCTGCACCGTCTTTCCGAGAGCTGTAGAGAATGACAGCAAGGCCTCTAGATGTAGCATCAGCTCATTTTGCTCTGCCTTATTGCAGGATCTTCACCTGCTGCTTCTTACTCTGGATTTTGTGCATCAGCCACGTTAGATCTTGCTGACCATATTGTAATTCCTTTCACCTTCAAATTACCTTTGCATTTGAAACAATGCCTCAAGGACACCAAACACAGAAATGTCCATGTCAAATGTGGGAGCAAATGATCTGCGTGCAATGTTTGAAAGAGAACACTATTTTATTAACAGAGCTGCCAAGCCGTCCCATCAATCTTGATGAAGCACCATGTATTGTCCAGAAACAGTGTGACATGAAGCTTCACAAGGATATCTATGTCATGCCTTGATAAGGAGCTCTGGTGGTGAGTAATTCTATTGAAATGTACATTGCAGAACAAAATTATTCATGCTACAGTAGACGAGGGGATTTCGGGCAGTAGGCTACCGCCATCCCGAACCCCACCAATGAAAAGGTGCCCTTGTACACCACAGACCATGTCCTCACATACTCACAGTTGCATAAGCCAATGTGGCAGCTCTAAAATGTGGTCTACCATGTGGTAGCTATGGAATGAGTTTCAGCAATGCTAAGGCCAAGTGATGCTTTCCTGTTGATGCCTGATAACATTTGCTCAGCTGAAATAACAAGGAGGTAATTAACACAGCTCCCCATCATTTTTCTCAAGAGCAACTAGGGATGCACGATAAATGCTGGATCAGTTAGTGAAGCCGACATCACATAAATGAATAAAAACAAATTTTATGGAAATAAGGTCACCACGCAATAGTGAGATTTTGAAATCACTGCTTAAAGCTTAAGGGGAAACTTTTTTTCATTCTATATATATTTTCTTAATTTCCCATCATTGCTTGTGCCTCTTTAGGGGAAAATTCTACTGTTCAAAATTAAGGTGAGTGCACCAGACAATTTGCTTAACCATGCCTGCAGAAACTGACGAAACATCAAGTTCAATTTGATGTGTACAAATCAGACACTAATCAAAGGGGTGGAGAAGCAAAGACATGAGGACAGTTGCTGTAAAGCTAAAGTTGTTATAAATGGAGACTCAGAACCCTTACTGACATGGCACCATTGCGAAGCGAGACCTCAAAGAGAGTAGGATGGGTCCTTGCCAGCTCAAATCCTATTGACCTGCAGTCAACTTAGACTGATTATCTTGGCTTTTGACTGTGTTTTCTATAATTGCATTGTAACTCAGAACGACGCTTCTTCTTACTGATAAACACTATTGAAATTGCAGTGAGATGGCAGCAGCGGCAGGGTAGGAAGTGTTTGGGTCTCTGTCCACACGCTCCAGCTCCCCCTTACCTGGCCAGCAGCCGATGCCATTTCACTCCTCGTGGCCATAGCGGCTTCAACTTCATTGAAAGCTTTATCGTCAGTGGGTTTGGTCCATTCCTCGTGGCAATGATGTGTTGGCTATAGTGGTGGCAGTATGGTGGTCCCAGTTTGTTCCTCGTGGCCACGGCGGCGATGTTGCAGCTTTGGCTGGTGATTGAAGTGTTGACGGGTTTGAGCAATGGCAACTTGGTGGGTTTGGTTTGCACCTCCAGGCTATGCTGCCAACGCAGTGGCTTTGGTGTTGGCATCGGCAGTGGCAGCATGGTGGGTCCGGTCCAGAAATCCTTGCTTGGGCAGCTTCAGTGGCAGCGTC